CAGATGACTTCCATGTCATTCCTGCCACCTGAATGCAGGGTCCTCTGCTGATTCTGAGGTATGAATGAGGTAATGAATGGTAGTTCTGTAATTTCTCAGAAAAGACTGGGCCTTCCCCTTCTGATACTGTTCTCTGCTCGTGTGAGCAGGCTGGTTTATTATGAGAACTGAGGCCCAGAGGTTGTGGTGGTTATGGATAACGACAAAGAGTGAAGAGGCAGCTCACGTAGTGAAAACACAATCTGCACAGCAGCAGCGTTAGAACAGCCTTATTGGAACTGCAGCAAGGTAAGTTTTTAGCTGTTGGTAGCCCTGAGGGCTTCCCATCTAATTCTAGAGATGGCTCAAGGGCCTGCAGCTTGATCCACACAACCTAGTCCAGCCTGAGGCTTCGTGAGGAGAGCAACTCTGGAGGGCAGCCTGAAATAGCAGCACAGAAAGATTCAGTCTGATCCACTGAAGTGAACACTGGATTCCAAAACCTGAAATGTTTGAATGTAACACATAGGAAAATACACACAGTCATCCACAACACAGCTTACAAGTAGTGTGACAAGAAGGTATTTTAATAAATTTAAACATTAGGGGAAAAAAAAAAAAAAAGGTGCAGCTCTGTCAAGGTCCAAAAGAAAAAATTCTTACATTCAAGGGTTTACAGACTCAGACTTCAGTTTCACCATTGAAGTCCTACACCCTCCTTTTCAGTTAAGAGTATCCTTGGGAAATGTTGAGAGAAATGGCACAAATACCAGTACTGTTCTCCTTTTTTTCCTTCCCTGCCCTTGTCTACATGCTACTCCTCCAGGTGCAAGTGCTGTTATTACAAAGAATACTATAGAAAATAGACCTCTGTAAATTCTCCACAAAAGCCTGAGAGAGAAATGGCAACAGAACGTGACCGCATATTAAAGAGTGCTTGTAACACAGGCTGCCAAGTAGGCATTTCCAAACTCAAAAACACCAGAAAAAAGAATCTTTTCTGAACTAACTTAATTTGAAGGATTTTTAGACATAGGGATAACCCATCTGTGGAAATCAGTCTCTAGAAATAGACACATGAGAGCAAATACAACAGATTAAACTATTATCAACAGAGTAATGCCGTAAGTTCGTTCCTAAACAGCAGACAGGCTGCTATTCTAAAGCTGCTAGGCACTGTAATTAGGATCATCACAAAATGAGCTGGACCTTCAAAATCGTGGGTGTAATTTAAAAATAACAAAAATGTGTGCTCTTATAGGGTGTTACACCTTTAGGAACCACAACTTGAAGCCTTTCTCTGAAATCACAGGAAGTAATTTTGGAGAGCGGAGTCTATCTTGAAAGCGATTATCTGAGAACTGAACACCGGGATCTGATACTTCAAGAATAATAAATATTGTAAACCTCCGGATAAAGCCACAGGATCCAGTAAGAGGGCTTATCAACAGTGCTTTACCTATCTGCTCTGCCTTACGTGCACCCATCATTTTCTGAGTTTAGCACCTACCTGCCTGAAAATTCTCATCTGGTAATTGGCAGCCAATAGACCACATTTATTTGCATGCTTATTTTTTAAGTTTGAAGATAAACAAGGCTGATGAGATTTTCTGTGAATCACTTCCTTGTTGCACAAATCACATCTTCAACCAAACTAATAAATAAGCATCAGAATCCTTGGAAATGCTGAGCACCTACAATGAAGTCAAGAAAAAAACATTTCCTAAAACTTTAAGTTATCAAAGAAAATTCTGTGAAGAACCAGCGGTATCAAAGGAAGATAGAGAGAGCAAACACCATGAAAGAACCTGTTATTGAGCTAGTAGGTAAAGGGCAATAATGACACATGACTGCTGTGGAAAAAGAAATCCCTTACACATTTTGAGTCCTATTCCAGGCAGCTGCTTGAGGGATCATCAGCTATGCTAACCAGCTCATCGTGTTCTCTCCTTGCTATTCTTACAACTCCTTCAGCACGTCCTTCTATTGAACGGACATTAACTTCTACCTCTGTTTGATCCACCATGCTAACATCCGACTCTGAACTGATAAAACCTTAAGGACACAAGTCTTGTGTGCCTTCGCCCAGACTGAACCTCATTTCTGCAATGATTCCCCCCCCGATATCCCAAACCTATCTTATAATCCCTCTTGAGGATCGTACTTAAAATGCCTTAGCCTGTGTGCCAAGATCACACGCTGTCTGTCACACAGACTGAGAGAGGTCCAGTATTTCCTCATACTCACTCAATTAGCTTTCTACTTGCTAATTTTGGATTCTCACATCTCTGGAGACTGCCTGACTCTTTTGTGTCTGTATAGCACCAGGTCTGTGGTTTAGGTTCTTATTGACAGTGATAAAAATCACTATTTTGGCATACAGATATGATTTCTAAAGACACAAGAAACAAAAAGAGAAAGAAACTAGTTCTTTTAAAATCTATCTTGTGATTTTGAAGGTCTAACTCAGCTTTTAACAATGCTTGTCGATGGAAACATGAATGCTGGTTTGAAGTCAGCGTAGGAAGAAATATTTGTACAAACAGTTTTCTGATTTTCATTTCTTCTGCAAGGGAAAGAGACCTAAACCCAGTCTTTCTCAGCACTCTCTAGAGATGTGCCCTGTGTGTATCCACAAGATCAAACGCTTTTCAGCAGAGCAACACGCAGAGCTTGAATCTTTGAAAAATGTTTTTGTTCTTTCTTTAGTAGAAGCTTAGAAAAGGAGTTGCACCCTCTAACTGTGTGACCGGGTCAAAGATGGTGATGTTTTATCTAGTATTCATTGCAGGTGAGAAAGGAGTGTCCAAAGCCAGAGAAGATACACAAGGAGGCAGGCAGGCAGGCAGAACCAGGAGACAAGAGAGTATACCAAGACCAGCACAAGTGAGCCTTGCTCACAGTTCTCTGACTATTGAGACATTCCACTGAGCAGCTTAGTTACAGATCAAAGAATGGGACTGGATACTGAAATTCAGTGTCGCTCATAAATATGTAGAGGTTAGAGTGGATAATGCTGAACCAGTCTGACTCTGGAACCAGAACGCCTAATGAGACTCTTGAACATGTCAGAGAAGGAACAGGAAGCCAAGACAATTTACTGAGGTGTCAGAGCCATAAAAATGATTGAAGGGCTGAGAAAACGTCCTTTCAGTGAGAGATACTGGACTCACACACACTAATAAAACATTACTGCAGAATTACAAGCTACTGCGTGTCAGTTGAACCACTGTCACCATCTGCGTACACAACCCTGGTTTGTGGCCAATACAAAGCAGTTCAAGTTAGCTTGGCCCTCTTAAAAAAAGAGGACTTAATAAGTTTGCTTTATCAAGAAACAATACTTAGAAATCATCTCATTACATGAATTCATCTCATATGTGAACGCTTATGGGGAGAAATGTCTGAGTACCAAATAACACACTGAGAAAAACAAGCAATAGCTGGAACGTAGAACAATTGCGACTAACTACTGTCCTAGAATGCTAATAGAAGTAGTAGGCTCCCCAAACTTTTGAGCTTGGAATTATCATTTGAGGTCTTCTGGCAAACCTTCCAGAATGAACTAAGCACACGTATTTGGCTCCAGGATGAAGGAGAGTTGTGAGAAAAGCAGCCTATTATGCAAAAAGACAGACCAAAGTACCTAGGAACTTAATCAGGATGGCAGATTTTTGAATCTATTAAGTTAAAGATCAGGGGATGCCACTGCAATCATCTAACCTAACCTGCTGCATAAACATGGTCTACAGAACTTAAGGCCGCACAGTATAAGGATACTGTTTAGATGCATATACTATCAGACAGAAGATGCAACTGCTAGAGGCTGTAGATTTGGACTACATCAGATACAGCTATTCCAACATTGTAACACCCAGTATTTACCTCTCAGACTCCAAGTTTTTAATCCCTTCAAATTTTACAAGTAAACATGCCACAGAGGAAGATATGACAGTTTAAGAATATCAGTGTTTACTAAGTTTAGATCATAGTTTGAGGTTAGGTAATGCTCCAATGATATCATCATCAGCTGATACAGAAATGAAGATGTAATATCACATATATTTTTAGCAAGAATGAGTATTTATACTAAGCCTGGTCATAAGCGCTGGTGACATAGACAAGTTTAACATGTTAACACTGAAATACTCTACATGCTGTGCCTCATTAACAAGCACAAATTTTAACAAGGAGAGGGAAGAATTTATTGTACAACACTGTAGAGAGACAAAAGCAAAGTAACGGTGACAATTTCTTTGAGAGAAAATAAGGAATTACCGGAATGAAAAAAACCTAAGAGTTGCAAAAGGAGAGCACATGTGGATAGCCACTGTTCATTCACCTGCTTTGCTACCATCAGCAAAAGGAATATGTTTGACAAACTTCATCATCTATGTTAAAGGAGAACTTAACACAGTGCCAGCAAAGACTGCCAACGGTACTAACATCCGCTTAGGCCTGCAGTTGTTTACTTGGACGTTTTACAAGCACAGCACGAGAGTACCTGCCTGCTCCTCTGAACTCCCGGGGGAGTTTTAAATCACGGTAATAAAGAATCACTCATAGAAAGTGATTAACTTCATCACCAGAGGGGACTGAGAGGCCGCTGGAGGGTTTCTAGGCCAAAATACTGACCCACAAAGCTTTCTGTGCTACCAGGCTGGGAGTCCTCAGTGCTGTGAGGCTAGGAAGATTCACCACTGTAGATCACAGCCCTGCACCCGCACGGCAGGCACTGTGGCACCTCCTAACACCCAGTGACAACTCACCGACCGCTCTTCTTCCACCTCAGAGACAAACCCCACAGCTGGGGCTGATTCCTGCATTTTCAGCCTCAATTCATCCTAGCGGCTTTATATAAAAAGCACAAAGCATTCGCTCTGACAGCAACGCTTCCTCTTCCAGCACAGAAAAAGCTTTCTAAGAAACGAGATATAAATGTTATGCGGTATTTTTGCGCGGACCTCTTGGGACCGTGACAGCATTTCTCAGACTTTCCTTTGGCTCCTTTAAAACCGTACCGCAATCCTCGCTGAAGAAATTCCATTCTCCCGGCGCCACGTGCGAGAGGCATCGCCCCGCTACCTGCCCGCAGCCCCGAGGGGCCTCTTTCCACGCCAGACGGACCCCGCACATCTCTCCCTCCCGCCCTCGGCTCCGTGCCGGTCGTTGTTGTTAGAACACAAGGCGGGACGCGGCCCCGGGAGCGCCCGCCCCTCCCCTCACACAGCCGGGGGGGGGTCCAGAGGGAACCGCCATCTTCTGAGGGCGGCAGGTCCCGGCGGGGCGGGAGGGGGGCGCGCTGCGCGGCCGCGCCCCGCCTCCGCCCTGTCTGTGTGCCTGTGTGTGTACGAGAGGCGGGCTGCGAGGCCGCTCCCGCCGCTGGGCGTGTGCCCGGCGCCGGTGCTGCGTGACCGCGCGGGGAGGAGGAGAAGGAGGAGTGTGGGTGCGGGGAGTTTCCTTGTGCGGCGGCGGAGGAACAACGCCGCGCCGCAGCCCGCGGGGCGGGAGCTGCCGCCGTCGGCTGCCGGGCGATGTGAGGGGGGAGCCCCCCTTGGCCCTCCCCTCCCCCCGGAGCCGCCCGCTCTCCCCCCCTCCCCTCTCTCCTCCCCTCGCCCCGCTCATCCCCGCCCCGCCATGCCGGACCAGATCTCCGTGTCGGAATTCGTGTCCGAGACCAATGAGGATTACAAGTCACCTACTGCCTCCAACTTCACCACCCGGATGGCCCAGTGCAGGAACACGGTGGCGGCCATCGAGGAGGTGAGACGGGGCGCGGGCAGCGCAGCCCCTCGGCCTGGCGGCGGCAAACAAGGCGCTACCGGCGCTGCCGGCTCCCGCCGCTCCCTCCCCGCCCGGCCCCGAGCGGCGCCCCCGGCCGCCGGCGAGAGGAAGCGGGGAGAAGAGGGAGGGGGAAGGGCGGCGGAGCGCCTGCCCCCGGCCCCTGGGGGGCGGCTCGGCCCGGCAGGGGCAGTCCGGGAACGAGGGAAGTCGAGCCCTCGTCTCTCCTCCGGGAGGAGCACTCGGTGCCGCCCTCCTCTTACCTAGGGAGCGGCCGGAGCTCGGCAGCCTCCGCGCCGTCCTTGGCGGCACACCTGAGGCGCTCGGCCCCGCCGCCGCCGTGCGGGGCGCTTGGGTCTTCTCCCGCCTTCCCCCGTGCTCCTGTGTGTGCCTGCCTGCACAGGTGGGGGTCGATCCTCCTCCCGTCCCCGCAGGCGGGAATGCCCCCCCGCCGAGGTTGCCCCACGGGAGCCTCGAGGCAGCGCCTGGCCCCGGCGGGCGTGAGCCGCTCCGAGTCGGACTTCCCTCAGCGCTCGGCGGCCACGGCTCGGTCCTTTTTGTCTGCTCGCGGGCAGCCTGAGCTGCTTTTGTCTGGGGGAGAAGGCTATTTTTTTTCCTGAGAGATCTTGAGATGTGTCATTGAAGCTGACGGTAACAGCCAGCCCTGCCTGGGAGGGCGGCTGCCAGCGCCGGTGTGAGAGACGGGGTGCTTTCCCTGAGAAGGAGACTCCTTTCCCTCCCATTTCAAATCAGACGGAAATCTGGGACAGGTCTGAACACAGTGAGAGCGCATTCCTCATCCCTGTCATATGCACACAATGAGACGGAGCCGTTTGGTATCTCGATTCCCCCAGCAGCTTCCCTGGAGTAACTTGTGGGAGGGGGATCTTGTTTGTGATGATTAATCTCTCCATCTACCTGTTACATCAGTTCTGGCAGTGCGTTAAGTTCATTTGTTTTGCAGTAAGCAGGTATTCTAAAAAGAGCCTCTTCAGCAGAAGGATCTTGCCAGTAGTTACTGTCCCTTCTTACAAAAGAGCTGCCACCAGCGATGGATTATTACCTGAACAAAACCCAGGTTAGGGGTTTAAACTCCCTTTTCAAGCTTTTCCTGTTTTGCCAGTTCCCAAAACCACTGAAGCGAGGAGCTGAATTCAAAATAATCTGCACAGAAGGAATTACTGTTTTGTTCCCGAGGTAATTTTCTTCCATGCAAGCTTGCACTTAAGTGCCTGCGTTTAATTACATGTTGTTAGCCTGATAGTCTTAAGATCAACAATTCTGTATCAAAGGTAACTTTTTCTTAAGGAATATTTGTAACAGTGAGTCATTAAAGTTGTGTGGTAGAGCTGCCTGGTAATTGATTGACACAAAATATAATTTAGTGTAAGCACTTGGACTAAAAGCAGTTTTGCTAGAATTAAGAGATTCTTGTCTGTGGGTTTCACAAAATTTGGTCTGGCAGCCTCGGTTTCTTAGGCTGTATAACTGCAAGAATGTCACATCATTTCTCAGAGAGAGAAACATGGAAGAAAGTTTTTGTTTTTCAAGTCAGTCTTCTTTCATGCTCATTTTCCCATGTTTCATTTGCACAGAAATTTCTATATAATGGCATGAAATTTATATGTTATGTATCTTACAGTCTTAAAAATCCAACTCGGAGAGCTGCATCTTGGAAGCTTCTTTAATATCAGAAGAATGATGTGCATTTAAAGCTTTGAATCAGTGGGATTCCTTTCTTACTTCATCTGCCTGCTTGGCGTTTGTGTGTGTATCTGATGCTGATATACCTCTGCTTGATTTTTAAAGGAGCTCTGTCAGGGTGCCGAAGCCTGTATCTCTGCATATTTCAGATATTAGACACTGCTTGCTTAGATACAAAAATTACCTTTTATGATAAAGTTGATAACGAATGTGCCTTACAGATCTAACTGAAGTTTGCATAGTAGCTGAGGAGAGATTGCATTAGCCGTAGCCTTCTTAATCTTATCGATCTATCTAGCTGCTCTGGCAAAATATCAGTGGTTGCTGCCCATTCTTACTGCTGTTATACAGTCTGTGTTTAAGTGCTCATTTTCTCTTTATGCATTATCAAGAACAACAAACAAATTTTCATGGTTTCAAAACTGTGAAATCTATTTTTACACTATTTAAGTTTGGAAATACTGAAGTCTTTCAAAATTAAGTGCCAGGTTTTTCAGGTTAAATACAATCTGTTGATAAAAATCTGTCTATAAGTTGTGTAATAGAGAAGTCAGCATTCAGCACTTTTTTTTTTTTTTCCAAAAGGCCAAGCAGGAATTAGCTCATCCGGTTGTTATGAACAAAGATTTAAAAAAAATGCATCTAAAACTGTACAGGTAACACAGGGAACCCGTCTCCTTTTCCAGAGTCACGTGTGAAGCATCACTTTCCAGTGTGTGCTGCTGCAGTGTACAGTGCAGCTCTGGAAGCTGGGAGGGTTGGCTCTCTGTGATTCAGGGAATGTGTTACTCAGCATAGGTCCCTTCCAGCTCGGGGTATTCTGTGATTCTCCATGATTCTGTAGGTGAATTGAAACTTACTGGCTATAGGCTTTGTGGATAGATTGATTTTACCAAGTGATGGAAGATGGTTGTTTTCGTCTCCCAGGGCATTGTGTACGTATATTAAAAAACACAGTAAGTTCTCGTTACTGCTAAATTGTCGTGTTTTGTGGATGTCCCTCAGCTGCTTTTCCTCACAAATCTGTTTCTGAAACGGCCCATGTTCCACAGAGCTGGCTCTGCACTGCCCTGCAGCAGAGATGTGGGGTGGTTGTGCAGCAGCTGTGGGCTGGTGGGGCTTCTCAGCCTGAGTGCACCTCAGTGCAAACAAAGAGAGCCGTTTCCAGATCCCAGTGGGAAGCTTTTTGCACTTAGTAACACTGCTGGCTACCAGTTTTGTAATTCTGTCTTAGTTAATTAGTAGGTATATAATAGTGTCTTAAGGGTTCAGTTAACGAGGCCTTGCTTTCAGTGATGGAGCGAAAGAGGCTTGTTAAGATAGGGGATCAATAAGATGTTGGACAGTTATATGAGTATCATTTACCAGTTATGTCTCTGTGGGCGATGGTACTGCCTTAAATCAGTGTTTTCTGAACTTGGATTAAATGACCTCTGTCAGCTGCAGAGTAGGATTGATTTTTAATGGCAGTGGAGAATACCTGGAGTTTTCCTGTCCTGTGTGATTGTATGGAGCAATGACAGATGGCTGACCACAGCCCTTGAGATTACCAGAAGTGCAGCACCTATTGAAAAGCATGGAGAAAGAGAAGCTGATCCTTCCCTGCCAGTAGTGGGAAAGGGATTAGGAAAGGTATGCTCTTGGAGTACAGTGTGATTTCAAAGGGAAAGGAGTCGTATAATTTCTGTATTGTTGTTAAGCAAGGGTGTTGTTTAGCAAAATGATGGGAATCTCTTTAGCTTCTACCAAAACTACGTTACAAACAGTATGTCTCAGGCCCTTACAGGTTACTGTTTAATCTTTGTATGTATGATAATGACTACAATTAAACAAGTTTTGATAGAGTCCAGAGCACAGTCACGTGATGGGGGGAGGGGTTGCTTGAAGTCAGTAATCTGGTTTGACAAACGCCGACTTCTCAGCTTAAAACTGGTTTGGTTAAAGGTCTCCAATTATCACAGGATCTAACAATGGCTAGTGACTGTTCTTAAGCCACAAATGCTAAAAAGTCTGATTTTAGTGTTGCTATTACTTGGAATGTGCACTTCTCTCTTTCAGGTGCTGTAAGGTAAATAAAATAGTCCCCAAACTGTAATGGAGCCTGAAAAAAGGTTCTAATAGCTGTGAACGTTAATATTTTTGGAAATGATTACCTTATTGAATGATTTAATGAACAGTATCCAAGTGTGCCACTGTGTTTTGAAGCACAAGTTAAATCTTACAGTAAAGACTGGCACTGAAGCCCATAAAAATTGGAAGTAGTTGTTCCTCTGTTCATTTCTTGTGGTACGCTGCTTCTGGACCAAGAAAGAGGGGCAGGGAGGCTCTTGTCTGGGCTACTACATGAATAGAGAGTACCAGAGGGCTGGTGTTCTGAGTGTTGGTGTCCAAGTCAGGACTTCAGGCTCAAAGCTTACCCTGCCTACTTAAGCTTCACTAGAGCTGGGATTTCCCTAGAAAGAGTGGAGAGTGGAAACACTGACAGAAGTGTAATGGGTTACTGGAGCACCATCCCTCAGTTGTAGTAGCACTTGCTACTGTGATGAGTGTGTTTTTAGTAGACAGGGCAAATGTGAGGTGGAAAGATGGAGAAGGTGGAAGTGAGAGGATTGTGTGGGTAGGCAAAGATGGTCTTA